AACTTTAATATAAACCTATATCTTTGAAAAATTGAAGACCAAATTAATAAAGCTGAAAAGCATAGACGTTGTCTTAAAATCGGTATCACCCCATGCAAGGCAGTAAAGCCACTAAGACGCAAGGGGTTACAGGTTGTGGAAGAATTAGAAACAGAAACATTAATAATGAGCGGGAAGAGGAAAGATTAATCAAGAGGACAGTAGATAGCGATTGACATTGCATTTAAATTTTTCCATATTAAAGTTGGCTGGAAAATATGGAGCCAGAAGGAAGTTCCACAAGCGAGAAGTGCGAGAAAATCAATTAATTTATAATATATATATATATATATATATATATATATATATATATATATATATATTTATTTGGATTGATGTGAGTTTGTAACCCTGGGTTTCACGCTTTTGATATTCCTCATATATATATTTCGCCGTTAAACTGGGCTCATAGTTAAAAGAATCTTAATTCACAAGGACAAAATCTATATTTAGCGTGACAAAATGTTAAGGTTCTGAATGCTTGATTTTTTATTGCATTGCTATAGAAGTTATATTTGTAGTCATGATACACACGATAAACTTGTTCTTGGAAAACGGATCACGGGATTAATATGGAGACAAATATTCACCCAATCAATCAAAAAGCTAATTAAAAAAACGAATTTAAACATAGTAACGATTAAGAGAATATCATCAAAAGGTATCTAAATTTTATGGCTTAGTAAAACACACCATACGACTTATTATCTTTGGTATAGGCGATAAGCCTTTAGTATACGTCCTAACAAAAATGTTAACGCCCAATTTATCAGTCTCACTTTTGCGGTCGGACGAACAAATTGAAAAACAGATATAAAGTCATGGCTAACTTAGATATTTAATTCTTATAAACGAATATATACTGACGAATGTTTAAATTTTCTCAGGAACTACCTGACAAAGTCAAAATATAAACTCCATCGTCATAAGTATTTGTTGACTTTCTACAAACCAATATTTTCCTATAATAGTTTTACAAGCAAACATTCGGCCCACCTAAGGGTTCTCCTGCCAGTTGCATTTTCGCCTGCCGAATACTAAGAATTCTAACTCTAATACCATTAAAATTAAGCGTTCACCAGAAGTCAATATATAAAAGCGATCTCATATTTTTTTATTTTATTCATATTACAACAATAAGATAAAATATGGAATAATTATATACAGGGTGATTGAAAAGTAACTCCCTATTTTATGTATGATGGACTCTCCTGTCTAACTATAAGTTTTACAAGACGGGAGAGGCCATCACATAATATAGGAAGTTAGTTTTCAATCACCCTGTATATATATATATATATATATATATATATATATATATATATATATATATATATATATATATATATATAGGTGATTAACATTAAAAAAAGTAAAATAAAATTAAAAAGTAAATAAAAGTAAATGCAGAAAAATATATATGTACAGGGTGATTGAAATATATATATATATATATATATATATATATATATATATATCAATGGTGGTACTCGCTTGGAAAAACCTTGGATAGTTCGACTTGCAGTAGAACAAATCGGTACCGAAGGAAAAATGAGGAATAAAAAAGAAAGAACCAAGAACATTACACTAAGGCGCAAACAATCGTCCAGTGTTCAAGCTCCAAAATCCAAAGAAAAAAACCCTTCAAAACGAATAAAAAGAAAACTACGTAAAGTTCTCAATACACAAAGTAGAACAAAACCTAAGAAAATCCTAAGGAGCCAGGCAAACCTACCTAGGTTTCACCTAAACGGATCCGTTTAGGTGAAACCTCGGTAGGTTTGCCTGGCTCCTTAGGATTATCTTATATATACATATATATATATATATATATATATATATATATATATATATATATGTGTGCGTGTGTCGGAGTTAATTTCTCCTTTAGTTCGTTAACCCTTTCACCAGAGGTCTCTCTTCCCTGGCTATAAATAGTCGCTGACCCTTCGCCTCTTCCTCTCTTTTTCCTCAGGCTTTCAGCCTTACCATCTCGCAGATGTGAACGCTCACAGAGATAGCGTTTCCCAAATGCTGGGAACACGCTAAGCACAATACACGTACGTACGAACACTCATATTTGGTTGGATAGATGTGAGTTTGTGACCCTGGGTTTCACGCTTTAGCGATCGTCAGACAAGTTTGACTATTATTATATGAATTCATAAAAACGTTATTTCCATACTGGAACTATGCGTGCGTGGAGTACACTAAATTTTGACAAATGACAAGTTAACACACGAGAGAGTGTGGTGCATGTGTGGCCAATTTGAGAATTTAATGTTGTTTGTAGATTATTATAAGAATTCATAAACAACACTAATTGTAAAAGGGGTCTGTTAGTATGGTTTGCACTAAATGTTGCCCAAACAGATTTTGTTAAATTATCTTTTTTAAATTTTATATTCTATTTTTTCAATTTTCCAATAAGATGTTGTACATTGGGATCAAAATTTTGGACAAACTGTCTGAATTTCATATCTTGTTCTCTTTTTTTATGTAATTACGGACGTCATTATCAAGAACTAGATGTTGTCAGTGTAATAGAAAAGATTCTGTTGGGTAAATCCTAGAAATCTTCTGGAACGCTAAGCGTCAAATTAATCTCACGTGAAGCCATGTGTGAAACGGTTACACGGAGCGAGACCGCACCGGAAAGGAATGCAAACTTTTATTATTTTTCGCGCCTATTAAATATGTCGTTACGTTAAATGAATTGGATTAAATGGGAGCATTAAAATTCAGGATATTTTATACAAAGTTCCCATATGTTTATTTACCTATGCGCAAAACAAACAAACTTTCATTCTACCTGAGCAGATGTTACCGTCATTTTGCAAATAAATTTTTACATTCCAATAAGTATTTATTTTATATATCGATAAAACATGAAAATAGCTCACAATGTCAGACGCAATTTATACATATGGGTGTGTGTGTGTGTGTGTGTGTGTGTGTGTGTGTGTGTGTGTGTGTGTGCCCGCGCACGCGCGCACGTTCCATATTTCTAAATTCGTTTCGTTTTAATCTTAGCCAGATGTTGTTTCTCTCATTGTGTACCGCTATTATGTCTTTATTGAAGTCAACTCTATACAAATCAAATATATTAAAAGCTTAAAACAAACAGACATAGCAATAAAAAAAAATGTTTAAGTGAAAAAGGCGAGACATTATATTTCTGGTGCATTGACAGCGACATGCGTCATGTGATGAGGAGTAGAAGGCCGGAAAAGAAAACGTATGGACATCCATTTCTAAACAGCTAAAATGATAGAGAAAAATAACGGTAACTATGACGGTGGAGGGAGAAGAAAGAAAGAAAGAAAGAAAGAAAGAAAGAAAGAAAGAAAGAAAGAATTAATGGCGGGCGGGCGAACGGAAGAAGGGGGATTAAAGAAACAAAGAATAATTACAAGAGATAGATAGATAAATAGATAGATAGATAGATAGATAGATAGATAGATAATGATTTGCCCTTACCTTCATACGTAGCTCTGCGAAGATCTTCAGGTATGTCACCACTTTCATATATTTCATTTATGACTTCCTCAACCTGTCGATGCCGAAATCGTTTAAGCCTTCTTGCATCTGTGGGTTACCCCACTTACTTTACTAAAAGCCGTCGCTAGGGGACGCTCCTTAAGCCTATAAACAGGCTTAAGTATATTCTTACATATTCTTTTTATCTTTTTCTCTGACCGGTGTTTTCACGTGACATGTCCTTAAACTCTGATGAAATAAAGGACATAATGGAAATGGCTAATTTCATCATTATCATTACCACAGCCCCAGAGGTCTTCCTTCCAGCCAGTATCTCACTTTTGGGAGGGACCTGGGGTATTTACCCAGCGACTGAGGCGTACCTAAAAGGTGAAGTACCGAGGGGGTTTGGGCAATTTTTCCACGGTATTGCCATTAACCTCACTTTAAACCCTGACCATGTATCCCCTTTGATAGCGACGTGTGTGCGCTGAAAAATATACATTATTTACGTGGATGCATGAATAAGTACCTAGTCTGACATGTAGGAAATATCTATTTTCTTATCAGAAATTATCCTGTATAATATTCGACTTTCACAATTAATATTAACCACGGAAGTTCGTTTATAACAAATGAGATTATATTAAAAAATAAATTTAGAGAAAAAAATATTTATTGTGTATTTTCCGTACTGGCTGTATTTGGAAAAAGAAAAAAAGAAAAAACATTCCCATCGCTATAGATACACATAAATAAAAATTTACATGCTCAGTTAAAATTTTTAAAAATCACAAAAAATGTCCTTGATAATGATTAATAGAATAGCCGAAACCGCTCGAGTATATAGAACATTTGGACAGTTTTTACACACTTTATGCACAGAAAAGAAAAACACTTCTACGAATGCCAAAAAACTGAATAAAAAGGTTAATCGAAATTCCTTGTCAGTCATTCTTTACTGAAACGTATATATATATATATATATATATATATATATATAACAGAGTAGATAAGTTGGTCAATAAAATAAATTCAAACCAAATGGCACCGAATAAATCAGTACGAAAAAACATTTATTATTAACCAGGTGACAAAAATGAAGCACAGAGACTGAGGTTCCAAGTTCGGAATTTTCAAACACGCCTTCATATATATATATATATATATATATATATATATATATATATATATATATATATCCCGTAACTCCCAAGCCACCACTCAACGACCGCCATCGCCACCACATCCACAATTACAAATGGACGACCTTAAATCGCCATGTGCTTCCCTATTCTGACGTTGTTTCTTTTGTTATATTTTTTTCTTTTTCTTTTTCTCCTGCTCTTGCTTCAACTTTGGCTGTTACTGCTGCTGTTTTCAACCTTGGTACACGTTTTGTTTGTTTTTTGTTTGTTTTTGTTTTCGTCCGTCGATCTTTCAACACAATCGCACTTGGAAACTTTCTCTCAAAACTGCGCATGCGTGCCCTCAAACAAAAAAAATTACGCGAATTGTTATACAGAGGTTGGGAACAATTTACGAGACAGACAACAATTTTGGCTGTGAGCGAGGCAGTTTTCTTTTTAGGTATGACAACTGCTGAGTAAACGTATCTATTTATCTATTTATCTATCTATCTATCTATCTCTCTGTCTGTCTATTTTAAATCTGTATATCGTAACTATCTATCTAAATCATCACATCGTATATGTCTAAATAAATCTGCACATACCCACCTATCTAAATCTGTAATCTATATAACTTTGTAATTCGTATTTATCCATTTAAATCGGTGTAATGTAATTATTTATAAACATATACAAAACTATTTTTATTAAAAAGAATCTAAAAGAGAAGAGTTATCGAAACAACGAACAAAAAAAACCGTTGATTTTCTCCTTCTTCTACTTCTTGTCTGTTTTCATTCTTTCTTTACTTTCAATTTTATTTCCTTTATTCAATTACTTTTTCTTTCTCCATTTCTGTATTTCTTTTTTTTCTTTATTCTTTCACCATCATCCTCTTTTTCTATCCATTTATTATTCTCTTCGTTTAATTTATCGTTGTCGATTTACATTTCTTTCTTTCTTTCTTTCTTTCTTTCTTTCTTTCACCCACTCTCTCTTTGTGTATTCCTTTTACACCCTCATTCATTCTTTCACTCTCCCTCACAATTTTGTTTTTCCTAGCGTCCATTTACCCTTTCATTTCATCTTTTTCTCTCATCGATTTCTCATTCATCTGCTCACGCTTCTTTTTTCACTCCCCTCTCCATATCTCTCTGTCTATCCATCTATAAATCTATCTATCTTTATATATATATATATATATATATATATATATATATATATATATATATATTAGTTAAAGATCAGATGTAAATTAAATATGGGTCGGAATCCGACAGGATGATAAGATAACGTTTCCAATTTGTCCTTTATCTTATCATATATATATATATATATATATATATATATATATATATATATATATGCTACTTTCTAGCTGATCTTTACACCTCTTGTTTCTTTTTCATTCACCCTTTTTCGCAATGTAATTTCTTTTATCCCCCCCGCCACACACACTTCCCTTTTGGTTACAGTTTTTTTCCTTCTTTTTGTTTTGCATTACCTTTCACCCTCTCTGTTTCTCTCTCTCTCTCTCTCTCTCTCTCTCTCTCTCTCTCTCTCTCTCTCTCTCTCTCTCTCTCTTTCTGTCCTTCCCTCTTATCTTCTTTCCCTTTCCTTCACATTCAAATGGCAGGATTTATGCCTCTGACGATCTGGATGAAGGTGGCTACGGCAGTCATGTGTTATGCCGTCGGTCTTCAGGTGGCCGGGCTAGCCACACCCAACTGGTGTCGTACTTCCTTGTCCCAAATGGGCCTCTTCTACCCAGCCAAATACCTGCCGACACCCGTCCCCTTCGAGGATCCGAACGACACCTGCATTCTTTTATCAAGACTCCAGCCAGGTAAGTATGAAAGAAAAAATTATATTTCTTTTTTTTTCATTCTGAAAAATCAATTTTAATGAAACGTGCGAATCCAACACACACACAAACATACACACACACACACACCCACACACATATATATATATTACATATATGTGTACATACGCACACATACATTTATAACCATATATATATATGTGTGTGTGTGTGAATATATACACAAACACACACAAATATATATATATATGTATATATATATAAATATATATATATATATATATATATATATACATACATACAGTACATGTATACATATGTCTATCTAATTATTAGTACATATAATCATATATATATATATATATATATATATATATATATATATATATATATAAATATGACAAAGTTGATTGGTAATTCTTATGGATAATATTACCATGACTTGACTCAATCTGTTGATTATATATATACATATATATATATATATATAACTTATTGTAATTATTCTTGCTGTTGTGGTTGTTGTTGTTGTTTTTCCCTGGAAGATTTAGTATCGAACAAACTTTTATAAAATACCAGCGATATATATATCTGTAGCCAATCATAATTATTATTTTGATCTGAAATTTTCACTGCATTATGCTCAGTCGATATGATTAATGAAAAAGTGTTGGCTTAAGTGCATTAACAAAGAAAGATATAAATATACTTTCTTCTTCATTCTATAGACATTTTGAGAAACTTATGCAATTACAATTCCCAAATATATATATATATATATATATATATATATATATATATATATATATATATATATTGACTTCATATAACAAAACTTGTTTAAATTAATTCTTACTGCATATCTCTCCCACTATATATATATATATATATATATATATATATATATATATATATATATATAATTTTACTTGAAAATTATAACATAAAAATGTTATAAAATCACTACAAAATAGCCATTTTTGTTTCAACACTTCTGGTGTCTTATCAAGTGATGGTCTTGAATGTAGAATCTTTATTTTATGTTATAATTTTCAAGTAAATGATTATATTTGCTCTACCTGTACTCCTTTAAGAATAGTATTTGTTCGTTATTGTATTTTATTCTGTATACACCAATCCTATACTTGGATATATATATATATATATATATATATATATATATATATATATATATATATATACAGACAGAGAGAGAGAGAGAGACAAATGGAAATGGAAAAATTAGCCGATGCGTCTCGTCGTCTGATGGATTTTATCAAGGCAAATATAAAGATTTAATTTTTTTATTTTTATTTATAAGCAAAAGTAAAATTGTTAGTTTTCAAAATTTTTTAATTCCGAAGAAATTCATAAATATTCATCAGGTCAGATAAATTATGGAAGACCTTAAGTGATGTAATTTAGTGTCTAATAAACGAAAGTTAGTTAGTGATGTTGTTAATTTTTTTATGCAATTGCTGTTTAAGTTATTTTGGTATGAGATAATTTTAGGTATTATACACATGTATTATATATATATATTTTAAATAACGGGGGTTATTAATTTAACCGTTTTCTTTTAATTTTTTAATATTTTTATAACATGCTGGAGTTGGACAGTAGTAATTCTTTCAGGAATGGAGATTTTTGAAAATAATATGTAGCGCAGATATATATATATATATATATATATATATATATATATATATATATATATATACAAATATAGGATTGGTGTATGCAAAATAAATTCCAATAACCAACAATTACTATTCTTAAAAGAGTGCTCAATACAGAGTAGAGCGAATATAATTATATATTTAAAAATTATAACATAAATATGTTATAAAATCACTACAAAAATAGGCATTTTGTTTTAACACCTCTGGTGTCTTATCAAGTGATGATGTTGAATGTAGATTGTAAAATCTACATTCAACATCATCTGAAATCAAACATCTCTCTGAAAATATTTCTGGCATCTAAAAGAATCAAATAAAACACCTACAGTAAAATGGAAGTTAATAAGAAAAGCCAGAATCTGTAGGTCATTGCGGAAAAAACCATATTTTAAATCAATTAATTTATAATATATATATATATATATATATAGTTTTAAGGCATGATGTATTTATGGGATAAAGTGCTCAATGTCAGAGACAGAGCATATGTAAATGTAAAACTGCAAACTCTGATTGGACAAAAAATAGCCATAGTTACCATCCCAGACCAAAACAAACCACTAAATAAACGATCAGAACTCATCTCAATATTTTTACTACGTTACTTAAAAATCGAAAACCGAAAAGAATAAATAAGAATATATAAAATGAAAATAAATAAGAAAAAAATAAATAAAATATATTAATCCAAATAAACAATAAATTTTAAACAAATTAGCAAATCACTCCCGCTAAAATAACCGTTATAATAGACTATCCACATGCAGCACTGACCCGTATATAAAAATATTCGAGAAAAAACACAACACCTGTGGCGTGATTATGGTGTTTAGCATGAAACAGCCTGTCGCCTCTGTGTGTTGACTTCAATTTTCACGTATATATATATATATATATATATATATATAGAGAGAGAGAGAGAGAGAGAGAGACAGACAGACAGACAGACAGAGAAAGACAGACAGAGGGAGAGAGAGATAGATATAAATGAATTTCTAAAGGAATAATGGATTTTTTTGTTTATTAATCCGATAGATTTTATCACTCAAACGTTATTTTAGTGGATACCTATATTTGAGTAGACATTCCGTTTTTATTTTTAAACAGTATATTCATTATTGTCATCTGGCCTGAATATTCGAGAAATCTAATTAAAGAAAAATATACACACTCCGGCAGGATTCAAATCCTTGGTAGGAGAAACTGTCTTTAAATCTGACGTGCATTAACCGACTCAGCCACAAGGGATATCAAACAAGGCTGAATGATATCTTTCAACGAAATCCTACTCGTTGTGTATTCTCAAAATTTCATAACTATAATGAATTTTTTTCTATATTAACTCGACTGATTTTATCACTTTAAACATTTTGGCGGATACTCGTACTTGAGTAAACGCCCCGTATATTTATTAAACGATATATTTATTTATTTTCGTCTACTGACCTGAATGTACCACAAATCTTATTAAAGAAAAAAGATATGAATGCTGCAACAATCTTTAAAGAATTTGTGTTAAAGGCACTATTCGGCTTTGCTCGATTGGCAAGGCCCTTCATGCCCGAGTTGGCGTACAACACATCAGATCTAACAACGGTTTCTCCTGCTAAGGAGAATGCAATTTCAAATCCTGCCGAAGAGCGCATTTATACTTTAATATAATTTCTCGAATATTATACATTAATTATGATTATTATTATATTGAATGAATTTTGATATTATTTCTTATTACTATAAACGTTATTTTTAGAGTTTTAAGTTGAGTTGCAATCTCTGTTTGGTGGGGGGTGACTTAAACAGAAATTACACATATATATATATATTTATATATATATATATATAATGAGAGAGAGAGAGATAATTAATGGAAGTAAAAGTTTTGTCATTTAGCTAATTGATGTGACCTTCAGCATCCCGACTCCAAAGTTTCAGAGACGAACCCTCCGGATATGACTCCCTCTACTCGTCAGGGGTATCACCAATTGATTGCTTATACTTCCCGATTTTCTTCTTTTTTTATATGCACTTTTCATTAGTGAATTTTTTCACGGTGTGTGCGTGCGTGTATGATTTCGCGCGCGGGTGCCCATGGGCCTGTCTGCGAGCATGTGTGAACGTGTAGAATGTCCTGATTATTTTTCGTGGTTCTTTTTCTCTTTTCTTTCAATTGTAGCCATTTTGACTTCCGGTTTTCTAGACATATGCTGTTGTTAATTCTTGAGCGTTCAAGTGTTTTCTTGAGTTAGAAAAATGTACTTCGTTTTTTACATAAATATGTTTTTATATTTTAATATTTAAGTAATAAAGTAAATATTTATATATGTCTTCACTTGGCCATTATTTTGTTTTCTTACCTGATTTGATGGCATCTTAAGTACTACTAGGGTATTTATTTTAGGAGGTTAGTTTTATAATTTAATTCTTACTATTATCGTTTGAATTTGCATATTCTTATATTCATACGTTTACACGCGCACGCACATACACACACGTACACACACACACACACACACACACATATATATATATATATATATATATATATATATATAGGCATGCAATGTAAGCCATAGAAATTATTGTGTACGATGTTGATTCTGGGCATAAATAAAGATTTTTTTTTAATAACTTCTTTTATGTGTCGTTTCCCTGTAGAACTTTGCCGACCATGGCTCTCCACATCTTTCTATCCTTTGTAGCTCTTAGCAATGTTTTGCCTTTCTACTTTCCTGTTTTGTCGTCCATTTACACAAGCTATTAAGGAGATTATTTTACTACTTCTCTCTTACTTTTTAGAATTCGTCTGACCTGAGAGTGTCAAATTCTTCAAGCCATCTTTCCTCATTATGTGTTCCTAAAATCTCAACTCTCTTTTTCTTATTGTAAGTGTTCTTTTCGTTTCCATCGTCCTTATAACTTCCTCGTTACTCACATGCTATGTCCATAGTATTCTCAGCATCCTTCTGTATAACCACATATCTGTTGCGTAAAATCTCCTCTTTAGGAAACTGTATAACATTCAATGCCATTTTCCTGTTCCTTAATATACAGTTTAGCTTTTGAAAGGCATCTTTCGATATTCCGTTGCATCTTCGGATTTCGGTGTCACATTTTCCGTCGTCTGTTATAACACTCCCCAGATTTTTATTAATTGAAGTCTCCAATTTGTAACTTGCATTTTAGACTGTTTCTCTTACTGATAATCGTACATTCTTTCTTAATAATGAGTCATTTCTTCGCACTTTTCTTTAGTACCTTGTGTAGGACTTCCTCCAGTTTTCTTTCAGTGTCTACTGTCAGCCCGGCCCAACTCTTCGCCTGGATTCTCCTTGATCCCGCCCTCTCCGCCATCAGATATAGACGCCGCCCTCAACAAGCTGGTTTCATATCCGCCCGTTCCACCTCCGATCACCGCAAGAACGGCCACCTCTATGTCGCCTTTATCGATCTGAAGGCCGCCTTTGATATAGTTCACAGACCGACACTGCAGAACATCGTGCGCACTCTCGCTCTCTCGTCAAAGCAACTTACATTCTCCAGCATGCTCTACGACGGCACTGAGAGTTGTGTGCAGGTCAACGGTAAGATTTCCAACTAGTTCCTGATCACTGCCGGCGTGTTCCAGGGTTGTTTAGTCGCCCCCGATTTATTCAGCTGCATCATTAACCTATGATGGATTCAGCGTGCGACCGCTTCCCCGGTGTTCAGCTCGGGGACTACGACCTAACCCCCGACAACACAACGCTGTTTTGCTTCTCACTGGTCACGTTAGAAGGGGAATTCCAAGTGTTCAACAAGTAGGCAATATGGCTTGGGCTGCCCGTCAACTGGTCAAAGACCAAGGTTATGTACGTAGGAGATGGCCCCGATCTATCGCTCATCATCAATAGCTGTAACCCTGTCCAGTTCAGCATATCTTTCGTATATTTGGGCTCACGGAAATCAACAGATGTAGGCTAGCTGCAGGTGTCATGAGAAACCCCAGAAGACTAGTATGGTAATGTCATGACATCTCCCGAAGCACCAAGCTACGAGTTTACAATGCCACCGTCCGAGAGGTGACCTTTCAGAAAGACTCTCGCCTACCACGTCCATAACTTCGAGTTCCCCATCATTGAGTGAGTGCGTTGGTCTGATCTTCTGCCGAATGAGTAGCTCCACAGAAGGATCGGCCGGGCCGAACACCAACCCCACTATCGCTTAGCGCGTGTTCGCTGGCTCGGTCATATTCTGCAACAACCTTATGATCACCCTACCAGTGTCATCTATCAGATCAATGCACCATCTGTAAAATGGAGACAACCTTGCGGAAGACCACGCAGTCTCTATCGCCGAATGGACGTCCTCCACCAGGATCTCCAGCATATTAATCTGGGACGGGAGGATTTTCCGACGCTCTGCCAACACCGTGGTAGCTGGAGCGACAAGCTATCTCTTTGGGTCCTGTCACTGGATCCAACTAACGCCTTTATCCACTGTGCCATGTGTCCTCCAGTGACAGGACCCAAAGAGTGTGAGTTCAATACCCTGTTAAGGCGGTGGAGAACTTGGAGAGAGGAATTAACAGGGGACATCTGACATCCATTAAACATGGCACATGTAACTAGAACAGTCTACCCCAGTTCGACATTCCAACCACCCGAAGAAGGCCGGAGCGTACAACGGCCGAAACGTTGTGATAGATATGGCAACAAAGATAAGGATGATAGTCCGAACAATGTAAATAGTATACCTCATCTCAGAAATATAGACAGATAAATTTCCCTAATAAATCATTTTTGTCACAAGTTATCTACCATTGCCTGAGGAAGTACAATTATAGTGTTGAAACATGAAAGCTTTTCAGTAACGATGTAAAATGTTTTTTAAAATGTATATATTGTATATTGTATTGTATGATAGATAGATAGATAGATAGATAGATAGATAGAATGGTGGGGAAGAGAGGAAAGATTAACTCACTCTTATTAACATGATAATAAAACAAAGTGCAGATGTGGTGATGATGAAGAATGAAAACCGCTGTAAAGAATTGAATGCTTTACAAGACTTTATATAAGAACAAGAAAAACATTCAAAATAATATCCCTATAAATGAGATGAGAGGATGCAGAGGCTTTATTTGATTGATTGCTTGATTGACTGGTTCGTTTTCTTTCACTCATCAAATATCCTGAGTATGACGACAAACAACACTCGGCAGCAAGGCCTCTGAACGGGAGATTTTGAGGACATGGAATCACCTTTTAATTGCTGTTGTTCCTAGGTTCACCCTGACCCGGGGTAGTAGCACCTTTTAGGGTCCCAGCTATGAGCAAATAATTAACCCACAAACAGGGTTTAAAACACTATGAAAGTATAAAAATACATTTTATAGTAAAAATACCAGCAATACATTTTTATAATTAAAAAAAAAATAACATCAATACATTTTTTAAACAAAAAAAAATACCAGCAATGCATTTTCGGGAAAAAAAATACCAGCAATACATTTTTGAAAAAAAAAATACCAGCATTACATTCTTTGTAAAAGAAATTATTAACGATCCTAAGACAATTAAATTCCTGCATTAAATGACCCATAAGATGTTGATATGCCGCTAAACAAACGAACGACTTATCAACTTATTATATAAGAATAAAGTGTCGCTCCCGATACTTTAGTTTGAACATAGATCGCCAGAGAGTAAACACAGGCGATCCCATTATCAGATTACGTGGATCATGTGGCCATAGAGGAAACACATAAGTAGGAAGTCGCGTGATGTCTAATTGATCGTCATTCTTAGTCTATCCTCTATATTATATGAATTGCTATTTCTAATCTATCCTCTATACCAGGGGTCGGCAACTCATTCGACCCCGCGGGCCGGATCGTGTTATAATGACGGGTCGCGGGCCGGACGAAGGCCATTAATGAAAAATTAAGGAAAATTAAATATGCAGACCCCTGTCAACCTAAATATTTAAAACCATAATGAAAATAAACATTGAGAAATTAGAAAAACAAAAGAAAACCTAAAATTAAAAAAAAAAACTAACAAAAATTACTTTTCCTCAAGGAACGACAAAACACTTCAAAGTGAAAAAAATCAACCGAAGTGAAATAGGTGAAATTATGACGTGTAGGTTTGAAACTGTTATTGAAAATTGTTCCACACACACACATCAAACAAAAACGAAGCACATATACCCATACATACGAGTACAAATAGCTGCAAACATATACACTTACGTACGTACACAGGTGGTATCATCCACACATTCATGAGGCATGTATGTATAATGCGCGTATGTTTAACTGTCTTTAGATTTCTGCTACCTCGCATGTCAGTCCCTCCCTGGCCTCTTTCACTTTATCGTTCTTTTCGCTTCTGTTATCTTTTAATGTAGCCAAGGGTCATAACAAATATGTATCCATTATTTGACATTGAACGTAGGCAACGCAACTTGGTAAAATAAGTCCCATGAAAGATAACTGGCAGATAGTCTAATATGTTTAGTGCCCTGAGATGTGTAGACATTCTATGGAAAATAACATATAACAAATTTCATTTGAAGGTCGTCTCTCATGTTAAAAATAGAGTCATTGGTAATCAGGCTCGCGGGCCGGTCAAAATGCCTTCGCGGGCCGGATCCGGCCCGCGGGCCGTAGGTTGCTGACCCTTGCTCTATACTATACGGACCGCTATTCTCTACTGTATTCACTATACTATTTCTCTATTCATATCACTATACGAGCGAGTATTATCAAGTATGTACTATTAGTGCGAGTGTTATTCGAAGGCGTTTGACACCAGCATTATTCAATGGCGTTACTATAGGTTGTATCTGCGATTACAAAGTCTCTACTACAACGAGAATTACGAAAGTGACAACGAGTATTCGTTGGCATCATAAAAGTGGCAACGAGTGTTCACTGATATCACAACTCTTTGAAGGTTATTTAAAGCCAGAAAATATTTTTAGATTGTAAGAATTTATTTGTGAGATAATAATGATCTAGTGACACAGGTCTTGCTAATTAATCCATAGCTGGGGAGAGAAGAGGTGGATTCATGCCTTTTCCAAGGTTATTTTGCATGCAAGCGAATATAACGGACCCAACGAGAATTGGAACTCGGCTCTCCGATTAACAATTCCGAGCCATTAACCATTACACCACCCGCACATCCAAGCCCACAGCTAATTGTATTCACATAGAGAATTGTAGAGAGAAAGAAGGAATAAATATGTATGGCTTTGATTTGATCTTCTGATAAAATGGCTTTCGCTGAGAATAGCATTGACAAAACGCATTCGAAAGGCTTAAGGAAAATGGAGACAAAAAAAGGGACTTATACTCAGAATTAGAAAATGACAGTTGATATTTCAAGAACACATAATGAAGAAGGCATTTAGCGATCACGTGACATATCGACGGCAAAAGGGAGAGGGGAAGACAGGGTATCTCCTACCCGAATGGAGGGCCGAACGGAAGTGTGAGGTTTGGCAGAGGAACAAATATTGGTAAGAGCTAGAAGAGAATGTGGAGAGCCATGATGGCTCATGCCCCGAAGCAACACGGTACACAGACGAAGTAAAAGTAATAGATAAAGTAACGCTTCTTATAAAGTCCGGCTTCTTGAGACACAGTGGATGCGAGTTCGAGTCTCGCTGAATGCTTGTTCTTTATTTTCGATTCGCGTTGTTTGTTAAAGATCAAAGAAAGATGGACTGAGTAGTTGCGATAACAAATGAATCTGGATGCAATACTAGCTTAGTCATAGTTTTTTTTGTTTAAAAAAAACTGATTAGTTTTTCTTGTTTCTTTGTTACTGTTTTACTTTTTATCATAACGCTCAAGTCGATCGACATCCTACATTTAAGTTGTATCAAAAATAACGGACAAGATTTAAACTCGCCCTCGTATTATAAGGAATCTGTCAGACATGGAAAGCACCTTACACACTTGGCTATAGAGATCAACCCCGTAAGCGTGGCTAAAGGTCGTCCTATAGCGATAGATTTTCTCAGCTGTTGTTTGTTTACAACTTGTAGTTGTCGATGTAATAGTCTTTGATTCATTTTCTTAAATGGCTCTTTTTTATGATGAATTTTTACTAGCTTATCTGTCATCTTTATTTGCGCTGATATTTATCGCAACGAACAGGTTGTTTCATATTCTACAACCATTAAAATAAGCAATGGGTATCGACAAAAAAATAGTAAGTTTCTTTTCCCGCACTTCTCGCTTGTGGAACTCTCTTCTGGCTTCTTGCTTTCCAGTCAGAGTTGATCTTCAGAAATTTTAAGTCAATGTCAATCGTTGTCTTCAGCCTTCTTAATTACTGTTCTTTTATTGTTCTAACCCCCTTAATAAAGTTTTTCTTTTTCTTATATTATTTCACACTCAGTACCCACCCTCCCCCAGCGTGTCTTAGTGGCATTATTGCCTTGCTTGAGGTGAAATGATAAAAAAATGAATAACTTGAACTCATATTACACATCCATCTGACAAAACGACGGCTTTCTTCTTTTTTTTTACTGAGAACATTTTTATATTCCCTATGTATACATATATACGTGTACTTGTGTTTGGCGCCTATTTTTTCGTAACTTTTGCCGATCGTTTTAATTATGAGAGCAAAGATTTCAGTTTCTTTCCATCTCCGATCATTGATCTGAACTCGAAATTGAACAAAACACAAACGAAGTTTGAATTAAATTTAATTGAAACAAACTCGTGAATACAAAAAAATGGCAGGCTTCCTTTTTTTTCTCTCATGATAGGAAGTTTACGCATTAATTTATAAGTAAAAAGGGGAATAAAGGGGAAAAGAACCAAAGTGAGAATACGCAAGAACAGGAACGTGATTTATCGAAAGCCGAGTAAACAATAGAAAACTAA